TAAAGCACAGTAAAACCTCTGCCTCATCATATGGAAAGGACTTTCAAGAACTAATAGGGACTTACAACGCTTCAAGGAATTTCAAGGGGAAAAGCCAGAAAATTCTTCATGAAGTTGAGCCTGAGTCTGAAAGCAGCTCATACGAGTCACTGGACGATAGTGCATCAGATGACGAAGATGCAATTGCTGATAAAACTAAACTTGCCAAGTCTTTCGTAAAAGAAAATGCTGAACATGAGCTGGATCAGTATCCAGGAGTAGATGATTTTGATGGTAATTAACGAATCATCTGTTAACAGTTATAGGACTACTTGTTTTTTAGAGGATGTTGTATTGCTTCGTTTACTTAAAGAAAAAAACTGCTGATCTTACTTTTGAACCTAGTTCACATTTTTTGAAGCAGTTGCATAAGAAGTTTTTAAGAACGTAATATCTTCTTCGAAACCCAGTTTCTAACCTCAGCATGATTATTGACGCTTCAGAGGATATATGGAAATAGTATTTTTGAAGATCTTTAGTCATCTTTGTGTAGTCTAATGTATGCTTCTGACTGACAGTTGATTTTCTCTTATAGTTTCATGTGGAGAGTTCCTTGAAAGCTCGCGACCTGAGAGCTTTGCCTTTCCTGTTCAATCCCATGAAACTAGTTCATCAGAAAGTTTGGATCAAGGTCCTACAATTGTTTATGTACCCACGAGAAAAGGAACTGTGGAACTAGCTAACTATCTGTGCAAATCAGGCCTCAAAGCTGCAGCGTATAATGCAAAGGTTGGCACCACCTACTGGAACATGCTACTTTTGTACAAGAGAACAGCTTAAATGTTTGCAGACTGCAGACATATTATCTATTCTCTTAATATATGCAGTCCTGTGCCTTTTCTGAAGCTATCTGACACTTCTTTCCAGATGCCTAGATCACATTTGAGGCAGGTGCACGAGCAGTTCCATAGCAATGCCTTAGAGGTAACCATAAATATGTTCATTTTTTCATTTCATACTTGACTGGAATATGCTATGGAAGGTTGCTCTTTTCCATTTATAGATGCAATTACCATCAACTACTGGTGTGCATATTTATTTTGAGATAGCATCATCGGAGCTTAGTGTTTCCCATTTTGTACATCTCAGAGTGATAACGGTTCATACTTCCATAAGTCTGACTTGGTTCCATTCAGATATCGGGACTTATAATTGATAAGATGCAATTTTTCTAGTGCATTAATACTTGATGGCACTTCTTTATCTATAATTCTTGTTCAGCACAAATGGCCACTTTATAAATCCCAACAATACTACATATTAGATATTGTTAGGAAGTATTAGTATTGGTCCAGGAGTCCGTATTAGTCTATGTTTAGTTTCCTTACACCTCAAGTCACATGTAATATATATATGCCCCTTGGGCCTTCAATAAAGAAAAGTTGCTTTCCTAACATGGTATTAGAGCCTAGGTTTAGGTCTCGGACGCCGCAACTCGTCCTTATGATCCACTAGATAATTTTTTTTCTCGATCGATCTGTTCTGAGTCGATCTCGTGTGCTGCCGACCTCCTCCTCTGGCCGGCTAGCTGCTGCTCTTCCCACCATCCCTTGTTGCGCCACCGCCCGATCTGCTCGTCGGCCCAGTCTCCTGCGAGCCGGTCCCTGCTGCCAGCCTCCAGATCGAACCACGACAACTTGTCCAGCATCCAGCCGCCTCTCAGATCGATCTCCGCGGTGTGTCGCCACGTCGAAGCATGCCTCCAGGCCGCTGCCTTACGTCCGCTCATGGGATACAGCCGCCATCCATGCAAGCTATTAACTGCTGGTGGTCCGTATGTGCGGCTGCTGGCTCCATGTTCCGTGAGGGATGCCACTTTGGTGTTGCTTGATCCGTTCCCATCTTGATTTCAAAAATAAAAAAAACAGTCCAATGTCTTCTGCATACACGATGGATTTTGCATCTTTGTGTCATGTATGCTTCCTAGCTTTTACCGTCCTTGTTTTCCGTTGATATTTCATGTTTCTCATGCCATGCGAGTCCACAATAGCTTTGTCCGTCAGCCTTTTTCTTGTCATTGTTCTCTCTATCGCTCCGTTTGGATGTTCACATTCAGGCCTAGTATTGGGTATTGGCATTTGTCTGGGCCTAATATCCCGAATGCCACTGTTTGGTTGGTCTTGGCATTCAGTCGTGGCATTCGGGCTCGATATTGAGCGGTCCTTCCCTAACGCAAAAAACTGTTGGCCCAATTCGGAGCCTGTGTGCTCGACATTGCTAGGCATTGTGGGATAGCGTGCTTATCTGTTTGCGAACGAAACCCAGCCAGCGTCCTACCTCCCGTCTTGACGAACAGCGGCGGCGCCCATCCCGCCCGCCTCCACACCGAGCCCCGGCGGCCGGCGTGCCTGCACCCCAAGATCCGGTGGCCGGCGCCACCCTCCCGCCTCGTCTCCACCCCAAGATTCAGCGGCCGACGCCACCTTCCCACCCCGCCGGAGCTCTCCAGCAGCCGGTGCCATGTTCCCGCCCCGCCAGAGCTCTCCAGCGACCAGCGCCGCCCTCCTACCCTGTCTCCACCATGATCTCCGGCGACCGGCATACCTCCACCACGAGCTTTGCCGCCCAGCGCAGGTGTGTTGTTGACCGGCTCCTCTCTTCGTAGAGCTCCGACCCTCTCCCCTGTCTAGCGTCCAGCCTCCTCTTTGCTTGATTTCCCAGCAAAGTCTCATACAACTCAATGCCTCACATTGACAACCCAAACAACGTTGGCATTCGACCTCAATATCAAGTCTGTGTTCCGAATATCTAAGCATCCAAACAAGAATATTGGCATTCAATCTAAATACCAATATAGTGTTATATTGATATTCAACCCAATGCAATGCCAAGGCTCCCAATGCATACATCCAAACATAGCGTATAGGATTTCTGTGGCCTCTCTTTGCATTGTTGATCTAAGCCCATTCTCTTGCCACCGAGCTTCTTTTGCCGTTGGTTTTCATGGGCCATGATTCTTTAAGCAATGCTTCATTCTCTTGATGTGCCATCTTCTCTTGACAACCCATCTTCTCTTGATACTTCTATTGTATCTTCTATTGATGTGGTGTCTTCCTCTGATGTTCCATCTCTTCGTTATCCCCTTTGGCGACTCGACGGGTTTTGAAGACTCTTCATGCTACGACGACACTCTCAAAACACGGATTTGGATTATCATTTTTTTCTAGTA